AGCTCGAAGCGCCAAATGCCTCCGACCCGCGACTCCCGGCACACCTGCAACCGCAACTTTCACTGGCTTGGCGAACTACGAATGTTCGTAGCCTTGTCAATTGTCTTAGCCTGAAGTCTGGGTCTGCACGGGCTTTGAAGTGTAGGCTGTAATCGCCCGCGTTCAGGCTGCGAGTCATTTACACCTACCTTTCTTCGGGATTTGGCAGGCTGCTGCAAGCAATGTAGAAGTTGTGGCTGCCTGGGCGACTAACGAAATCGACAGTGTCCAAAAAACCCGGCACACCAACCACGGCCAACACATGACCCTGTGAGCTACTTCTCGCGAGTGGCGCGCAAACAACACACAACTGGTCGCGGCGCTCTGCCTAGGAAGCCCATGTGCTGATCCTTCAGCCCTGCTGTCAACGGCATAGCAGCATAGCAAGTGTAAAGCCTGTCATGAACCTGGACTCGCTTCAAACCACTCATCTAAGTCTACTCAGAAGCTCCACCTTCCGAGAGGGCTCCTGCCTTGAGGCCCTGGAAGGTGCCTCGCGAGCCATCCTCTGCACGCCAGGTGCCCTTCAGCTCAGGCACCTCCGGGCGGGAGCAGCGGGCTCCATAACCACAAGCTACAGTCGACTGGGCAAGATGGAGTGTTGTCAGAGCAGATCACGGTCGACATCTACGACTAATTATCAGACATACCCCTGGAAGGTGCGTAGATTCACGATTTGTGACTTGGCTGTGCGTGGGTCGAGATCCCGCGCGACAGAAACGCAAAAGGCTGCTGAGCAGCTTCGTGCGCATCTGTCTGTTCGTGCATACAACAGACCTGACACCACATGATACCGTCTAAGATGCTCTCGATACGACACGGTGCCATGATGTACATAACATGATGCTCAAATGCCATGTGCCACTTCTTGACAGAAGCATGAAATATACAGTGCCTATAAACCTATAAAAACACATGATAAAAGGACACACAAAGATGAAGTCATATCGAATTCACATGGGCGCAGACTTACGTGCATGCCTACCTTTGTACTTACCTGGATACAACCCGGGCCATGCAAACCTTGCGCTCATCTGCTGAATCCGTTCCTGCTGCTGTTGCAGGTGCTTGCTCAAATCCCCGACACTTGGAGTTTTCCGTTTATTAGTATTACTATTAGTAGTACTATTATTAGTAATAATAATATTATAGTAATTAGGTAATCCCTCCTGTAGACGGTTGGCGCCTGGCCCTCTTCGATGACCAGGCTGGCGTCCGCGTAGGCAGCAGACCGTCCCCCTTCACTTCCGCTGAGTGCTTGGGTTCTGATGGGATCATATGAAAGAAAACGCTACCAAGCAGCCTGAAAAACACGAAATCCACAGCAGAAATCCTGTGGCAACTTCTGGACTTCCTACGTTCCGTCCAATCCTCTGAAGGGCCTTTGCCGTCCCTGGGAGTACTGAGTGGTCAAGGGCCAAAGCCCCATAAACCCGCCTTCGCCTTCAACGTCCAGCTGCAGGTTTCGTGCGTCGAGGCCTTGGGGCGGTGGTCTAGGCGGTTTGACATCGCGATGGAGAATCCAATGCTCCAACACCTTCCGATAAGCAGAAACCCTGCACTTTCAAATCCTGAGACCACTTCCTCAGCACTCAAAGGAACTCCTGAGCTCAGGACTTCTCTAAGTTTCAGGGTTCAGGGAATGATCCAGGTCCTACATGTTGCAAGCTCCTCCTGCTGTGGGGAGCTTTGAGGAACCGTAATACAAGATTCGCGACGAGTGGGTATCACGTGACGTGGCACTGCTTCCGTTGCTTCGATCATTCCTTGTAGTGCTTTATACTCTCAGAAGAACATTGAGCGAAAGGTTGTAAAATTCAACCTAACAGAGTATGAATTTGATATAGTGGTTCAGATTATTAAATTCTCTTATGCCACAACCTTGGATCATGAATACGGCGACTATGTGTGAGTATAATATATAGCCATACCTAACCCTAAGGGTCCAAAGAACCCAATAATAAGGCACTTTGGTTCCGGATACTGGTTATCTAGGTTAAAATTTGCGAGAGTAATATGATTATTAGGTACTTGGACCCGTAGGGTAAGTAATACGACTCAACCCTAAACCCTAAACCCTACACCCTACTCCTCAAAGGGCCCTTTATTATGATTATGGGGGAGTATATGATTATTCGGTACTTGGATCCTTAGGGCACCCTAACCCCTAAACCCTAAACCTTAAACCCTAAACCCTAAAACCCTAAACCCTAAACCCTAAGACCCTAACCCCTAAACCCTAAACCCCGAACCCTGAACCCCCAAGAAGCCGCGGGAACCGCTAAGATGCGGGCCCCAGGCATCTGCCGCTGGATCAGGAAGGTCGATGCCTGGCTACAGCT